TTTTGGGGCATTATTAAAACGTGACAAAGAAACGACTAGAACTTTATACACAACACATTCGGAATTTGCATCTCTGTGAACTTAAATAAAATAAAGTACTAGGTAATCATTTCATATTAAATTATAAATGCTAACTAGTAGACTAAGAGCTAGTGAACGCCAGACCTACGTTATTTTATAAAGGCTGAAAGTTTGTCAGCGCATGCTCCCAACAAAGCTAAGAACCATGGCCAAACATGAAGACTTGGGTCATGGTGGCTTTGGCAGACAGACGGTACTAAAGGTGTGTAAAATACCAACTTAATTACGTCAAAGTATAAAGGCTGATTTTTTGATATTTCCTTCAAAATGTTATTATTTTTTTTTTTTTTAAATAAATGACAATAGCCTTTATAAAATAACGTAGGTCTGGCGTTCACTAGCTCTTAGTCTATAGTGCATTGCCAAAAAAACATTCGACTTTCAAGCTAGCACTTGAGATGACAGCTGAACCTAAAACGTCATAAACACAGTTACATGCCGGTCACAGACATTATAAAACTCATCCAAGCCTATTTAATTTGTCTTCAATGACTTTGTTGTTTTTGCAGTACTAAACAAGTAAAAAAAGAAAACAATTAAAATCTACTATATCCTGGAAATTATCATGTTTTTCAAATACCATATGTGTACAAATATTATTATGTACACAAACAATATGTGTACAAATATGTTCAGAACACATTAAATATTTGGAAGCAGTGAATAATTGATCTATTCAGAGAAAATACTACTGTGTTTTATTGCTTTTAAAAACAATATAAAATATCTTGTTAAAAGATGGATATTTTCCTATGGTTTACCGGCAACCCAATATAATAATAAATGACCAATGGCAACACTATCTCAACTGCCAATGACATCGCCAATTTCAAGTTTCCCTCGCTTAACATGCGCAGTAAGCCATTCAAAGGCTTTCGCCAAAATGGCATGTGTCTGTCATATCAATATGACGTTTAAAATATTGATTAAAATTTTACATGCGTAAAAGATAGGTTCTTTTTAAACTAAATGATTTATGATTATATTTAGACGAGACCGTCATTTTCCTTGAAAGCCTTTTCAGGCATTCGCAATGATAGCTTATGATTGCCAATCTTCAACGATTGCGCAAATGCCACTTGTAAACAAACCTGTTTTAGATGCTACTCGAACAAAAATTGGCAAACTTTAACATTTTTCAAACGAATCTCTAAATCGAAAAATGGTCCTAGAAACCCCAAAGCTATTTTAAAAGACCTATCCCATGATACCCCACATGATGGGGTAGAAGATGAAAAAAAAACATCCCCACTTTTAATTAACATGTATGGGAGCAACCCTAAAAAAATTTTTTTGCCAAATTTTATTCTACCATTTTGTCGGCGTGATTATTATACATACCTTTACAAAATTACAGCTCTCAATGCCAATAGTTTAGTTTTCAAGCAAAACCTTGGACGGAAAGACAGACAGACAGACGGACATAGCGAAACTATAAGGGGTGTTGTCAGGATTACGGAACCCTAAAAATGATAGACTTACCTACATGCGATATTGCCCCCTTCACAGACACTTATAAACGAACGAATATTAGTCAACTGCATTCACGTTTAATAAAATTCATCCATAAACATACATGAGTTACTCAATGGAAATATCCACACCAAATCATGAACCCAATAATATTCTAATGTGACTGATGTATAATTTTAATATGAAGTCTATATGGAAACCTTACTTTTTCACTTCTGTCATCAAAACTACATTTAATTGAAGATAGATAAATGATTTTTTATTCAATTTAGGTAAGGAGAAACTATCTTTGATGAAAACTAATTTCCTTAGTAGGGTAAAGNTACCTATTATATGAAGCTATTAAATGCCAGCATCCATAACTTTGGTGATAGTTATGTCAAACAATCAAATGAAAGATTGTTGTTTGTTATGAAATCATTTTCTACCCTTTTCATTTTCCACTTCTATAATTCAGCACTGATTGAACAAAAATTTAAATTTACGAACAGACTTTATTGCATTTTGTTTGCTGACAAAACATTAAGCTGAAATCAGCTTAGTTTATCACATAATATTATGTTATAATAGTAGTTACTTGATAGAGGTGTATTAATTTCAATATTTTATAAGAGCTTGTATCAGAAAGCTCAATTAAAAATGTGACAATATTGCATTTCATATTATGAAATAGATGAATTGCTTGTTACAAGTAAATCACAAGTAAATCTATGCCTCTAGATGCAACTATAAAAACTATCTTCAAAGCTAAATAAATACAATATGTTCTTTGTATGAAATTCAATCATACAATTTCTTTTTTAGTGGTAGAATCTAGTAGTTCTTTATAAGGAAGACACATATTTTTTTTATTTTACATTATTACATTGTTCTTATTTTATTAAATATTTCAACGTGGTTTAGCTAGATCCTAATCTAAAACACTATGATATTAATTAATTTAATCCTTTACTGATTTAGGTAGGTACTTTAAACCTTGCCTTTTGTATTGTTTTGCTTCCACCATACCAAAGATTTCTTAATATTTATAGAAATAAACTGCAGAGCTTGAAATAATTACTATATCTCACTAATAATAGAAAACCAGTTAATTGTATCTTTCTAGGCTGGTTGGTTAGTGATAATTACAGTATAAAAGGGTTCATTGGTGACAAATATCCCAAATGCAGCTGCTGCTCAAAATAAGATTGAATGAAATCACAATCAAAGTGAAAAATGTTCAAAAGCTCTAGATAATTTTAAAGAAATTGGCTTAGAAAAACTACCAGTGTTTCAGTTTTCAGGCTGAAACATAATGAGCATACCAAAAAATGCCAGGCCATTGGAAAGCATCATTGGCTAACTGGAAAAGCTACCTAATTCTTAGGTACTAATTATAATGATTTGAACCAAGACTGTTCGCAAAGAACTTGTTTTTTAAAAGCTGTTTGTAATTTTGCGACAAATACACTAAAAATTGACTTTATTACTGACTGTGTTGTTATTTTTACCCTGAATTGATTGACTATTATTTTAAACTCATCTTTTGATTGCCAATATTATCATTCCAGTTGGTGATCACACTTCTTGTTAAAATATTTCAATTTTAACCTTTTATATTGACCTAGATTTTAGATTTTCAATAGTTTCTCTTATTCTAACCTTAAAGCTGTTAAATTTATTTTTAGTCACTTATTTCAAAAATTATTGCACTTCATGATCAAAACTTACACCAGGTATACAGGGTGTTTCTTGTAAGGTGTCAAGCCGAAGGCAGGTGATAGGTGAGGACTAGACCTATCGATTTCACCCCCATGTATGTTCTACGATTTTTCGTAGTTTAGAAGTTATCGTTAATTTTGTGATTTTTTCAAATTTCATGACCTAGTGGCTTAATTTTTTTATATCTTTTTTTTGGGTTGACTTTTCTCAGATTTCTTTTTTTTGACAGATTCCCAATTAGTTGGAGATATTTGAAAAAAATAATCACCTTCCTATCTTTGATGCAAGATACAAAATTTTTGCTAGAAACATAAAAAATATGCTTTTAGCAGAACATTCTAAAATTTTCAACTTTAGTGGAGCGATTACAGAAAATAATGGCCTATTAAGTGTATGTTTTTTTGTGTTATTATGAAAGTTCAGAAAACTGCGCAGTTTTTAAAATTATTTTAGACCTACGGAAATTCTTTTTTTTTCTCATACATTTCAATTGAAAATTTTAGAATGTTCTGCTAAAAGCATATTTTTTATGTTTCTAGCAAAAATTTTGTATCTTGCATCAAAGAGAGGAAGGTGATTATTTTTTTCAAATATCTCCAACTAATTGGGAATCTGTCAAAAAAAAGAAATCTGAGAAAAGTCAACCCAAAAAAAAGATATAAAAAAATTAAGCCACTAGGTCATGAAATTTGAAAAAATCACAAAATTAACGATAACTTCTAAACTACGAAAAATCGTAGAACATACATGGGGGTGAAATCGATAGGTCTAGTCCTCACCTATCACCTGCCTTCGGCTTGACACCTTACAAGAAACACCCTGTATAACGGGTAATTATTTAGCTTAAAATCATGTTTAATTGTTGAAATATCCACAAAATAAATAAAAGGAACGATTATGGGAAAATCGCCTTCATTTGACAGCTAATCGCCTTCAGATGACAGCTAATTGCTATTGAATAGCTTTCCTCTCATGTAATACAACACTGTAAAGCACTCGATTCTATCATATATTACTGAAGATATTAATAAACACTGTTTTCCAAAAGGGGAAAACCGGAATTTACAATTAAAATACTTTGTAGCATAAATAATTATTTTTAGTGTTTTAACATTAAAATAAGAGAATTGACCACTAAAAACCTGTGCTGAGAAACGAAACGCAAATTTTGACATTTCCAGTAATACCCTCTTTCAAAGTGTTCCCTAAACTTAAGGGCATTTCAGTCTTTAGTGTAACAAAACTTCATTACTTACATTCATCATCATCATCATCATTTCAGCCATAGGACGTCCACTGCTGAACATAGGCCTCCCCCAATGCTTTCCATGTTGATCGATTACTTACATTAATAATATCATAAGTCGTGTGACAGTGATAACAATGCATAAAAGACTGTTGTTATGGATTTTTATTAATTCTTATTAGTGTTTATTTGGTATTTTTTACAAATAAAATATCAAATTCATTATTTTTGCATAATATTCATAATTGAATCTTTAGATTAACATAGTATATAATTCCACTCGTACTTTTATTGGCATGACTTTTGTTAATACTATGTGAGCCTTTATGGGGTGAATCTCCCTCAAACGCAATAGGGAAATGGGATAAAAATATCTGTGAACATTACCTGGGTCTAGTTTGACCTAGTGAACCTAGTATTGATTTTATCTCCAGTTAGCGCTTGCGCGATGTTAGTCTTTAAGTTTGAACCCTGGGATTGATTCTGGATGAGTCTCATTTACCTGGGAGGAGCCGGCTAACCGAGACGTGTCCTGGGAAGTCTAGATAGAGTCCGGGTCTAAGTTTTTTTTTCAAAATGAGCTCATCAAGCTCAAGTGATTCCGATAGTAGTGAGAAGAGCGAGGAACGAGATTTGTCGCGACTTTTGGTGATAGAACCGTTGTATGGGGGCGGCCACAAGAAGATGATCGATAGTTTGCTGAAAAGTAAGTTCTATTTTCAATACTAACTCTGCTGCCTTCTCCCACTGGCTCCAGAATCACTACCAGCTTTTCTTCGTCCCGTTGAAGCCGAAAACGACAAAACCTAAGGTAGGTGACCACACCCACTAACTTTTGTAGCTGGATGGTCCCTGGAGAAGAATATTCGACCAACGCAGAACCAAACGAGGATAATGCGGTGTGGGTGCATCTGCATTTTTTGGTGAAAATCTTATTTTGAATGTATTTTTTAAATGTTTTAATAAAATCGCTAGGATTTGAGTGGTGGTGTAGGGCATATTATTTCATGCACCATGGGCTATGCACCAATCGATTGATCGGGTACTCAAAATGGCGGCTTGCGTGGGGAGGAAGGGCTTGCGCGATCGATTAGATTCGGACATGCGCGAACTGACCGATGCGATGCCATCTTTGTCCACTATTTATTAATAAAGGCTTGAATAACTATAATCAATTAAACATTATAAACAGATTTCTTTGCTTACTTATTTGAATAAATTTGTATTTTTGGGTAAATTACGCAATTGGATTAAATATTTAAAACGGAGATGCGCGCACAGTACATTGGTTTGATTAAAAGATGCGCAAACTGAGTGACGCCATCTTGTTTAAACTAGGTATATTAGCTACAAATAAATATTGCATTAATACAAATTATAACAATTTTATAGAATCTGGCAAATAGAATGTGGCTAATAAAATGTACACCCTTGATGCGCGCCCAGTTTTAACAACCAGCGCATTTTAACAAATTAAACGACGCCGCCATCTTCATTAAAAAAAATCAAGAGACTGAGAAAAGCTAACTCATAAGGAATTCAGACATTCACTATGCATTTTGCTTAAAATTTCGCCACCTTTTACAAAAATTTTACTAGATTGTGAAGTATCCCTGGTACTCAGTATAATTTTGCAGTATCTAAAACTATGGCCGCCATCTTAGGATGAGCATAAACCAATCGATCGTATTGAGTTGAGAGGGCTGAAGATGCAGCGCGTCAACATCATCAAAATGACATGCGCAGTGTGATTGTGGCACTAGCTCTAAGACGCCATTTTGCGAAAGTTGGTTAGTTTTGACAAATTAATGATAGTATCTCGTTGATTTAACATTGCCATAATATGAAAATTTTACAGATTTTTTTTTAAAATGATATTTCCTACTGTATAGGAAATTTGTTTGATGTTTAAAGTTATTTTGTTTAGTTATTTTAAATTTTAACAAAAACAAGGCAGCCATCTTTGACAAAAGATTATTTGCACATGCGCGAATCAGTTGGCGCATTCGCGCATGGTCAGCTATTTTGATTAACAAGTAACCATTTTTTGATGGAAAATATATTTGTGCCTGTGTTTTCTCAGGTTTTTGTGCAAAATTATTACACTGAATTAGTATTAGCTCATAAAATATTGCAAATACGATGCCACTCCCTGTCTCGCCGGACATGCGCAGTGAGTAATGCATTCAAATGACGTACGTCAAATTGATATCTGTCATGTCTTTGACGTTTAAATATTGACTGAAGTTACACATGCGCACAAGAATAAGTCTGTAAATGACATGCGCGAAGTGATTTTCACATATCGCGGCGCCATTTTCCTCGAAGCCGCATCGGGCAAGCGCTAAGGTTAATGATGGCCGTCAGTCTTCAATATCTTAGGTAGGTAATTGGTTATCACAAGAATATTGTAAGTTAGCGATTTCAATACTTGGTATGCCTTTAAACAATGCCAGGGATGAACTTTGTCCAAAAAAAAATGATAATTTTGACAGCTCCCATTACGGGTGAAGAAAAGTTTAACCGTTTGTGAACCCATTCAACTTTATCGTTTGTCAGTCTTTAAACTTGTAATCGAGATGTTTGGTTTTAAAGTTATTTCGTCTATTATTTCTAGTAATTTTCTTTACAAATAAAGTGATTTGATTTGATTTGATTTGATTTAAATATTTACAATTATGGCATACAAGACGGCCATGTTTGACAAAAGCATATTGGCACATGCGTAAACCAGTTTGCGCCATCGCGCATGCTCAGCCATTTCGATTAATAAGTCACCATTGAATGCATTCTGATGCAAGTCTTTGCGATTTCTTGTGAAGTTTATAAAGAAAAGAATACCTGATTATTTTTATATAGTAGATTAATATTTACCATGAACGTATTGCAATCACGACACCATTTTCTCTGTCTCGCCAGACATGCGCAGTGAGTAATGCATTCAAATGACATGCGTTAGACTTTGACGTTTGCAATATTGCTTAAAGTTGCACATGCGCACAACAAAGGGTCTATGAATGACATGCGCGAAGTTATTTTCACATACCGCGGCGCCATTTTTCTCGAAGCCGTATCGGGCAAGCGCTAAGGATAATGACGACCGTCAGTCACCTTCAATATCTAAGGTTTACACAAGAATATTCCAGATTTGTGATGCCGACACTATTTATGCCTTTGAAGAAAATGCCAGGGATTTACTTTGTTCAAAATAGACGTCAATTATTTTAACCCATCAGGGGGCGATGCGAAGTTTAACCGCTTGTAAACCTATTCAATTTTATTGATTGTCAGTCTTATAACCTGGATTTGAGATGTGTTTAACAAAAGCATATTGGCACATGCGCAAACTAGTTTGCGCCATCGCGCATGCTCAGCTATTTCGAAGTCACCATTGAATTCATTTTGATGAAGAAAGTCTTTGTTCCTATGTGTTATCTCAGGTTTTTGTGCAAGAAATAGTACACTTGAATTAGTATTTACCATTAACGCATAAAATATTCCAAATACGACGCCATTTTCTCTGTTTCGTCAGACATGCGCAGTGAGTAAAGTATTCAAATGACGTACGTCAGATTGACATCTGTCACGACTTTGACGTTTGCAACGTTGATTAGGGTTGCACATGCGCACAAGAATGGGTCTGTGAATGACATGCGCGAAGTGATTTTCATATACCGCGGCGCCATTTTCTTCGAAGTTGCATCGGGCCAGCGCAAAGGCTAATGAGGGTCACCAATCACTCAGTTACTTTTTATCTTAGGTAATTGATTAACACAATAATAGGATAAGAAAGAACCTTTGAGGAAAATTAACTTTGTCCAAATACGAGTAGGATGATAATTTTGACAGCTCCGATTAGGAGGCTAAATTCATTATTATAGTTCCAAAATATTGGACTGTCCTATCGATGACATTGACAGTGGGGCGCCACCGTCAATACCGGATCGCTGGTTCCGATTTTTGCCATGTTGGAAACCTTATAGTTGAACGATGGTAGCGCCCCCCTGTCATTGAGTTTGGTGGGACAGTTCAGCGTGGGTCATCTATAACTGAGTACAATATACTTAGTTATTTCGATTTATAATACAAAAACACAGATATCAGTTCGTTTCGCAATCACAAAGAGCAGAACTGTAGGTATGTAGTTGTCATATGTCATATTAAAAACTTTTGAAAATTATTCCATCGTAACGATGTTTCAAAACTTAGTAATATTACTAAAAGTCAGTTGTATGGTAAAAAGAAATAGTAATACACAATGAGCTTTCACAATTTACTATATCAAGTTTACCGTTAATACACCTACGATTATATTTGCACTTTGATAGGAGAACATTCGTAATGGAAAGTATACTTGCGCAGCTGTACACCATGTATAGGTGACACTGATATTTACAGAAACCGCGGGGACCGACCGTGAGCAGTGTCAGAATGACTGGTGTGGCGGGTAAAATCGGCGGAATCACAACCCTATAGGTTTTACCCGATTTTGTCTTACAGTCAAACTGGATCAAGGGGACCCGAGGTGCGACTGTAGTAGCTAGTATACCAGCAGCACCCAGAAATCTTGCACATCCACCTTTGACAAACAATCCAATCAAAGCAAAGCTAACCCTCAGCTTGTATAGCCTCATCCCATCACTGATGATACTTGCATATATTAACATAATGTGTTAAACTAGAGCTTTCAGGCTTATTACTTTTAATTATCATTAAATTATATTTCATCTCAGATATCACCTATCAAAAACGTATTTATCACTTCAAACGATAAGACAATTGAAAGTACAACGATATAAAATAAATAAATAAATATCCTTTTAAATATGATTGAAATTGTGTGACAAATGCATCACACGTCATGTGCAATTAAAGCTCAATTGGACAAGGAAGATGGGTGGAGTCAGATAGGTGGATTTAACAAGATTAAAATAAAAATAAAACTCTACTATTCTTGTTTTTTTAATCCTACATAAGACCTTGAGAAAGTAATTTTGATTCCTAAGGACCAACAAGTGAAAAACAAATTCAAAACCACATTTACCAAGTTTTACTCCAGCTGCAGAACAAATTCAATCAGAAAGTAGCCGGAGCCACAAAAAAACGACGATGAGTATTTCGACTCTTTGAGAAAACTTTAGAGAAGAACGCAGACACGCAGACGTATAAACAATTCAATATGGATTAAAGTATCTAGAATCGTATGGTCACAATTAAATATTGCAATAGAATTGCATACAAGTGGATGTGTATTATTTCCGGTAACTGTGCAATTAGCTATGCCAAGCAATCTAGTAATGCCAACCGCGAATTTTCTATTAACAATTATTATATTGTTGTATTTTATGACAACAAAAATACCACAAATTTAGCTTTTCGCATTCATTGTTTTTACACAAATAATACAAGATGTAACAGACAGGTTGGTAAACGTAGAACAGTGGACTCAGACCATATCTTTTATTTAAAGCCAGAATTTTACTCCTAGACACTTTGTAGTATAATATCTCACCGTAATATTTTAGTATAATAACATATTCATTATATTTATCAACAAACCCATTAAACAAGCACCAAGCAAAACGATACAATAAACACTCGGCTCACAAAGTAAAATAATGAATAAATTTGGGAACCTGTCCCTTACACCTTGTACAATATACACGATCACAAACGCAAGAATTTCCTAACATTTACATGAATGATAGCAAACGTGCAGTGAAGGCTTTAAAAATCATATTTAAGTTCAAATGCTTTGCTTTAAATTAAAAATCAAATACATTACTTGAGGTTGGCTAGGCTAACATGGGTGTAAATAATATTATGGGGAAGTAAGTAGTTCGACTCTGATGGAATTTAAATAAAAAAAATACTCTAGCTTTGCTCAAGTTTTTACTCGTAGCTTAACGAAATTGTGTACCTACTCGAGTGTCGCTTTATCAGAATTAATATAATTATAAAACTTTTGCTTCTTGCCCCATTCTGTCTTGTACATTTTATCTCGTATCTCGTCTTCATCAGCAATTCTTACACGTTCACATTACCTTCATTAAAATAACTATTATTTTCAAATCCGATTTTAATATAGGTTGTTATTGAATAATTCGAACTCGATATGCTCCCGCAACATAATGTTAATCAAACTTTACTTTATTAAGAGATATAATATTTACTATATTCCGTAATTTTCTATCCAATAAATGCCAATTACAATTTTTATGCTCGCTTTGCTTGCGTTTTTATTAATCAATTGTTTTTATTGTCTAAAGTATGCCGCAAAGTTGAAAGAAAGGTTTATAGATCAACTCTCGCTGGCGTGGCTCAGAGGCGTCCCAAATGGATTAACGGGGTTCAACTCAATTATAAATACGCCATTGAAGGTACTTGAGTAACAATCATTTGCCAACAGCTTCATCATAAAGTATAAGCTGCAGACAAAAGATAGTTATTCTACTTTAATAAAGCTATAGCTACGCTATGCCAGTCACCAAAACAAAATAAATTACTACTGAAAAAGAGATTGACAATAAGAATATTATTACAATATAATAATATTTTGGTGGCATTTGAAACGTTTTAAAAACGTTGCTTTCGCTTTTGCATTCACTCTTGCCATGATTACCGAGATATAGGAAATTATATTTTTTCTTTCAGTTGGACCTAAAAAACGATATACTTTAATTACGATGCCGCCAACTAAATGGGAGTGGCGTTCAAGGTGCTCCGCTATGTATTTGGCGGAGATAATACCTCGAGATCATAGTTACGAAATTCTGTTCTGCTCGTCAGTGTTGCCACTAGCAGAACTTATCGGGATTAGGCCAGATCTGGCGCATTTGTTTAAGATTGTATATTTTCATGAAAATCATCTTGAACTAACTTTGTACCCTTACGAAGATCTCAACTATCACCTAGGTCATAGCGAGATTATGACATGGTAAGAAATTAAATACCAAGATAAAAATAACATTTATTTTGATAGAAATTGGTAAAGTATCGTAAGTTTATATTTGTTTTATTTCAGTCTGGCAGCGGATCAGGTTTTATTCAACTCTAATTATCATGCAGAGTCATTCATTGCTGCGATCAGCAAACATATGGCGAAACAGCCAGACTTTACGGTATCTAATTTGGAAAAAAAGATCCGGAATAAAAGCCAGGTGGTGCACTTCCCATTGGATCTACATACAATTGAATTGTGTACAGGCAGTGCGAAGAAACGAAGGAAGCCCACTCTATGTATTATTTGGCCCCACCGCTGGGAGTTGGACAGGAATCCCTTGATGTTCTTCAGAATCATCAAACGCATGGATGATGAAGGCTATGATTTCAGGGTTGGTGCATAGTATTGTGAATGTCGTTGCAGTTTCATAGTGTGTACCTACTTCTTTTTTAACATTTCTAATTTTCAGGTTATCATGCTGCCTTCATCGTACATGGTTGACCCACAATATCCCTTGCAGCTCCAGCTAATGGATGACATACCCAAATCCCGTTTGCTGGTCCTGGACGACATTGAAAGCAGTGACAGAGCTTACTACGCATCGCTCAAATGCGGTGATGTTATTTTGTCGACAGCGAAACACGAATTCTTTGCGCATCAGATGTAAGTATAACTATTTGTATTTGTTGTACATATCCTTTTAGCTAAGATCATAATGAAGTAGCCGTTAACCAATAGAAACTTTATAGATAGACTGACATTGATGTTTTTTTTTCAGCATGGAAGGAATGTATTGCAATCTGATCCCCGTCATTCCACGTCTCCCTGTATATCAGGAGCTGTTCAACGATATCAAGGACGTATATGATAATGAAAATCAACTGTACGAGATCCTAGTCGACCTTTGCGACAAAAAGAGAGCAGGCATTCTTGATGCTGATCCTAATTACAAGCGAAACACCTATCGTTTTGAGAGCTGCAGATGGTTCCAATCCTTAATGTCAGTCCTCAAATGTAAACTGATATAAGTTTACAGAAGACTTTTAATTCACGGTAAGTGTGAAGAATGTTCCGCTACATTAAAATTGGATTTAATTTTGAATGTTATGATTTTTAAACTAAAAAATTATTTTCAGATCGTCACGTCCTCTCACCATTCTTGGATCAACACAACTTACGTATGGAGCAGTTCCCCTCCTCGCGCTGGCTACATCTCAAGAATGCCGAAATGATCACTGGCTGACTTGGGATCATAATAATCAATATAGGTACCTTAACCATGATTCAATAGAAGCTGATAACTATGTAAACAAACATTATTACACACAATTACACCATAATCATACACATTATTTAACACGGTTATGAAATCAACTTAGAAATACTTAAAAAGGGTACTAAATAGGTATCTAGTTGAATCAGCTCCGTGATCTTTACGCACAATAAATTGGACTATCTAGCTAGGTATCGACAATAATTTAACTTTCCGATTAAAGAATGCTTTATTTTTCGCACCATTAGGGACCGCCAGTACATAGACCACAAATACGGCAATATTAATCAGTCATATTTGTTTACATGATTATTGGCGTCTATTGAATCGGACTATACATTTCAAAATGATGTATCAATAACTGTGCCAACAGCGAAGTATTTTGAATTGTAAGTAATAGATATTACGACTTTACTTTCACAGATGCGAACTTTTTACACCATGCCAATAGAATTTGAGAAATTGTCAATATCTGAAATATGATTGAAATGTATTACGAGTGTAAAATATGAATTGACGTTGTATTATTATGTAGTGAAACTCAATTTTATAAATAAAAAATAGGAACAGCATTGAAACCTGCTGATGACATAGGTCGGCTTATTTTGTAAAGTTTGCAAACTCTATTGGTGTGGATCATTTAACTTTTGATCATTATGCAACGCGAACGCTCAAAAGTTATTTTTTTTTTAATAAATATAAATCTAATCTATATCGTCGGGCGGACTCATCCACAATCATTATTTACTACCCCGCGGGGTACCGGGTAGTAGAATAGTACCCCCCCTTTCTCTTCTCGTGGGTGTCGTAAGAGGCGACTAAGAGACAATCATATCAGGGAATGGGCAGCAGCGTCCCCTGATTAACATCTACGTATACAACATCTATACGACTGCGACCACCAACCGTCTGTCACGGGAGGTGAGACTGCATAAGGCTGCAGTGGTGAGATCGAACACGTGAACACGCAATGTTCAGCAAAAGAGTTTTTGGTCGGGTTCTAACAGCTGAGTGGTTTGATAATAACACGAAAGGTTCGGCAGCTTCATAAGATATTCTATCTCCATTACCAAACAGAAACCTTATGGTTTACTAATGCTTCGAACTATATTCTGCTAAGAAACACAGGAACTGTGATGTTTAATTTTACATGGCTTGATTAGATACACACATCAGGATCTGTAATATTTAATTTAAATTGATAAGATCACGGAAAGACTGAAGAGAAATTTCGAAATTGAAGAAAGAATGTTTGTTGGAGGTGGAGTATGAAAGGAATATTTTGCAGACTTAAATCTGAAATAAATAATACATCATTATTACCGATCACAAATTTTATCGTAAAGCAATAATTTGGACTATATTCACTATGCAACACCTTTACTTGAACAGGCATTGCTTTTCGAAAGAGTTTTTGGTCGAGTTCCAACGTGATACAGATTTAAATTAACATCTGTGAGAAATTGATAAAATCGTGTAAAACCTAGACAAGATTAAACATTTTGGGAAAGTAAGTAAAATAAAGATTTCGGGTTGACTGGGTGAATAATGAATAGATGCAGAACACAATCTTACAGCTTAAAATCAGAATTTGGATTGGGATAACTGAGACTCGCTGAACATAGTGTTATCCGTGTTCGATTCCATCCAGGAATAGTCAGAAGAACACGACTATTAAACTTATGTTTAACTTTGTATCCTAACTTACTTTCATAGGTTTTTTTAATAAGTTTTTATAAGTATTACTTTGTATTTGATTACCAAAGCATGCACTAGCTTGCTGTGGTATAATTTTATCACTTCATTGACAATTCTTAAATTCAATTTTATCATTTCTACAGAAGCAATATGCTTCTCATTCCACTCTTGAGTGTCATATGGAAATTTCTATGTCTATTTTAACCGTGCAATAAATATCTATAGAATAAGATAAGATAATATTATAACAAAGAAATGCTGCGCTGATAACAACCCAAAATTTAATACTCTACAAAATCTGAAGTTGGATCAAGAATAATTGCCAGATACTTTGAAATGCAATATCACCGCAGCATTTCTTAAAATTACATTGGTGTCTATGCTATACCCTTGTTGGAACGATTCCGCAACTACGGGAATTTTGATTCATAACAACTTTGGTCTTGACAGTTGACGGAATTTCTGGTCGATTGGTAAAGAATTTATTATGGAAAATACGGGTTATTTAACGACGGTTAGTCGAGTTGAGGAAGCTTCTACACGGCGATGTTTGAAACGTCTGTTAGACACGGAAATACAGGGGTCCTATGGTCGTGTCTCGATGAAATTTTGGATCGGCGTAATCTTTTTTGAATTAAGAGTACATAGCAATGGACCTAGGTTGATCATCCGATGAGGCAGCTCTAAGCATTATTAGATTAAGATCTCTTCGACTTTGTTTCTCGTGCAATATACCAGCACCCTAACTTTCCTACACCTATTATTCCTTCTTTATCTTTACCTTCTTTCCTCATCACCTCATTCCTCAAACTTTATCCTACAATTCTAATTTAAACTCTTGTCTCTTATTACCTTAAATTAGGTTTCGGTGACAAAGTCCTTTCTTAAATTCCTGTTTCGTAATTTATGCATTTCTTGTTATTGTGTTTCGTCTTTTAGTCGTTTTTGATAAAATTCTGATTCTTTATATTACACTTACTAATTTCAATTTGCAATTAATATTCCATTTCTGCGATAAGACAATTTCCATATCTGATCTTAAGAAAAAACTGATAACTTCATCCCTTAGACTCGGGTCAAAAAACATTTCAAACTCTTCTCTTGAAGTTCTGACTAAAAAAGTAAACTTTCTACAACATCGCATTTGAAAAACTTATCTCTTTCACGAACTTACTTAAATCTTCATCTGAATTGTTATCTGTTAGTCGCGATTATTTTACCACGACGAAACCTATTACTATCATTCATACCAAAGTCCTTCCCTTTTAGTCCTCATTTACTTCTCAAGTACTTATTACTTCAATTGTTCCACTTAAGTAAAATAAGTCGTGGTGATTGATACAAAACTCCTTTTTTAATCGAATCCTCTTTAGTGATTTATAAAGTGAAATTCCTCTTCATAAAAATCAAATTAACTTACACCTCTTTGTAAAAAAAAATGTATTTTCCAGTTATTTAAGTCTAAAGGCCTAATCTCAGTAATGTCCCTTTAATAATCTCTCACAAAATTCACCATTAAAAAACACATTCCCACAATTCAACTTACGTATTTCTATAAGTATAGTCCTAATTAATAGCTCTACTCTCTAATAAAAATCACCTCAATTTCACCTACTTTTCTTCAAGTTCAGTTTCAAATTAATGTCTTTTAAGGGCAAACCATAACGAAACCTATTCTTACAAATCTGAACTAAACGTCTTAACCTAAACTTAATTAAGTAAAATTACTTCACGACTTCGTCTCTAATTTTTTAAGTCTAAACCCCTCCATATCTTACTTGACATTATTAAAGATACACTTTTTCCTACTATAGTACTTCAAATCTGTATCTTCCTCCTTGACTATCTAATTTCCCCTCAACCCTTTACCCTCATCATCTCGATTAATTAAGGTAAATTATTGTCTAGTATGTAAGTCTGAATGCCTTATCACTGAGTCGCAATTAATAAAGGAAATTTACGCGACGGAATAAATAACTTATTTAGTAAATGTTATAAAAACAAATAAAATCCAAAAAAAACTTAAAAAACATACCAAATGTAAAAAAAATCCAAAAATAATGTTAAAAAAAATCCAAGAAAAGCAAAAAAACATACTATGTGTAATGTAAAAAAAAACAACAAAAAACGAAAAAAATAAAAATAAAAAACAAAAAAATACATCTTAGAAGCCATAATCGTATAGTTTGTATTTTCACATGACACTCATCATAATGTATTAATCCAAAAGTTAAATTTACTTTTATTATTGTTTAAAAATTCTAATTAGTTGAGATCCGTCTAAATCAGGATGGAAGCTTGACACCCCGCGGGGTACCGGGTAGTAGAATAGTACCCCCCTTTCTCTTCTCGTGGGTGTCGTAAGAGGCGACTAAGAGACATTTTTGTCAGGGGATGGGCAGCAGCGTTCCCTGACTAACATCCATGTGTAACATCTCACCAACGAATCGTCTACAATTTGGGAAACAATATATCTACAACTTGGGATACGAAACGTCTAGAACTTAGGAAAAAAAATGTCTACAACTTGGGCAACAAATAGTCTACAACTTGGGAAACAAATAGTCTACAACTTGGGAAAAGAAACGTCTACAACTTGGGAAACGAAACGTCCAAAATTTGTGAAGTGAAATGTCTACAACTTGGAAAACGAAACGTCTATAACTTGGAAAACGAAAAGTCTACAACTTGGAAAACGAAACGTCTACAACTTGGAAAACGAAACGTCTACAACTTGGAAAACGAAACGTCTACAACTTGGGAAACGAAACGTCTAAAATTTGGGAAGTGAAATGTCTACAACTTGGGATACGAAACGTATAGAAGTTGGGATACGAAACGTCTAGAAATTATGAAAAGAAATGTCTACAACTTGGGAAACAAATAGTCTACAACTTGGGATACGAAACGTCTACAGCTTGGGAAACGAATAGTTTACAACTTGGGAAACAAAACGTCTACAACTTGGGAAACGAAACGTCTAAAATTTGTGAAGTGAAATGTCTACAACTTGGGAAACGAAACGTCTAAAACTTAGGAAACGAAACGTAGAGATGGAAAACGAAACGTCTATAACTTGGAAAAAGAAACGTCTAAAACTTGGGAAACGAAACGTCTACAACTTGGGATTACGAAACTGATTACCAGAGGGCGTATGTAAAAGAATTTAGCCTACTCTTAAATCTCATAATTCGAACTTATCCACTAATCAGAAACTTTATCGTTAAACAAAGCTTAGAACTTTACCTTAACTTAAAAAAAACAACAGCTTATGAACAGGAATTGTCTAGCGAAAGCGTTTCTGGTTGAGCTCTACGAGATTTAACTTGTGATTAGTGATATTAATGCTGATCAGTTATAACATCTAGCTAGATAAAACAGAGAGGGGATTTGGGTGTTTAAATTTAATTATTATCGAAATTGAGTAAAGGAAGCGGAAAATACATTTCAGGGACAAATCCAGGTCGATTGAGAAAACATTAAGTATTACAAAACGGTCTGTAATTTTGGGGTATTGGTAACATCACAGAACGGATTTGATAAAATGCAGGAATTTACGAGTTTAAAATTGAAAGTATCAGTCAGCAGTAACAGAAAAGCAAAACAGTCGATTTGGAGAAGAATGAGGTGGACTTTGCACTCATTTGACAAAACTCAGAACTTTTTAAACTAAAAAATACCAGCATAATTTAGTTCCGGCATGACGAGAAGAGCTAAGGATATGTCAATTTTGGGGGTTTTAGATTGATAACATCACTCGAACGGCTTTGAGTAATGCAGGATATTTGCGAGTTTAAAATTGATACTATCAAGTGACAGTGATGGAAACGACAAATTTAATATCATATTGGGAACCAATAGACGGTTTCAACGGAACGGACAGAACATTGCCAGTTAAACTTGTTTACTATTGGAAGTGAATAAGGGGAAATGAAAATCTTTTAGAAAAAAAAAGGAGTGAATAAGGGGAAGGAGAGGAGATCTTTTAGGAAAAATATCGGGAGTGAATAAAGGAAAGTGGAGATCTTTTAGGAAAAAATATCGCGAGTGAATAAGGGAAGGGAAGATCATTTAGGAAAATGGATCGGAAGTGAATAAGGGAAGTGGAGATTTTTTAGGAAAAAATATCGGAAGTGAATAAGGGAAGAGGAGGTTTTTTAGTAAGAAAATATCGGGAGTGTGTAAGAGGAAGTGGAGATCTTTCAGGAAAAACATCGGGAGTGAATAGGGGGAAGAGGAGATCTTTTAGGAAAAAAATATCGAGAGTGAATAAGGGAAAGGGGTACATTTTAGGAAAAAATATCGGGAGTGGATAGGAGGAAGACGAGAAGTAGGAAAAAATATGGGTCGAATTTGTAAAAAGGTTGGCGAGTTTCATTATTGGGTCTTAGAAAAATGACGTTTTGACAGTCTTGCAGTTAATAACCTGATTTGTCAAACACTAAACCGTCCCAGCGATGACATTGTCAGGAGGGCATTTCTATCAATATTATTAGATCCGATTTTTGCCACGTTGGACACTTGATGCTAAGTGAGATGCATTTCGCATAACATCTCTGCTCTCAACTCTTGCCTTCGACTATTATTATTGGACAGTGAAAATAAATCGGATCCAAGAAAGATAATATCTGGATTTTCACAGTCAATCGCACTTGATGTTATGTGAAATGCAGTCTGGGATGGTATATGTCTACCCTTTCGCCTTCGACTATTTATTATAGGACAGTGAAAATATATCGGATCCAAGAAAGATAAGATCTGGATTATCACAATCAATCGCATTTGATGTTATGTGAGATGCATCTCATAACAGACGTCTTGTCGGAAAGCTTGTGATAGTCTATGCTATCAATACGTTGATAGAAATCTCCTGTTTTGAAAAAGCAATGTAACAGTTTGAAAACATAAGTCTCACGTTCTTTGATAATTCTCTAGTTTGGACAAACGAGACGCATATTCTCTCTAATCTCTAACAACCGAACCCATTATACGTTGAACATGCTTGTGTTGCGTATTCGTGTGATGAGTCCGCCTATTAAGAAAACGACGATTATTATCTTTTCTTTCAATTGTTTTCTAGGTATTTTTACTTTAGTATTTAAGTATTTTATTCCGCCTAACTCACGTACCTAATATAATTTTATTGATACATCTGTGTATGTTAATTTCAAATAAAACATTAATTTTATCACTTTAGTAGAAGCGGCAAAATTTTATTACACGTCGACTGTAATTAAATGTTGCCGTTTCATACATTTTGTGTCTGTATTGATGTTATTTATGTTTTTAACGTATGGTTATGTTAAGCTAGATATAAGATAAATATACATATTCTTTCAAGTAATGTTGCGCTGATAACAATCTAAAATTTGATAGCTCTACGGACATTTAAAGATTTAATTCACGACAATTGGCATAACAAGTTCTATGAACAAAATCACCGCAGCATTGCTTAAATACATTGGTGTCTATGCTATACCCATACTTGCTACTGTTTCGCAAGTATGGGGTTTTGAATACATATTGGAACTTGGAAGTCTGGAAGGTTGTTTGAAAGAGTTTTGGTCGGGCATATTTAAAATCCGGTTAGTCGAGGAAGCTCCTAAAGGGCGATGTTTGAAAAGACTGTTAGACACGGAAATACAGGGGTCCTATGTCCGTGTCTTGTTGAAATTTTGGGTCTGAGTATCTTTTTAGTATAAGGTAATAAGTAACAGTAATGGACCTAAGTTAAACATCCGGGGAATAAGACAAACGGGACAGCTGCATGAGCAGCATTATTTATATTAAGATAAGTTGGTGTCTTTTTTCTCTCGTGCGTTATATCAGCACGCTATCTGGATGTCTAGGCCTATAACTCCACCTGTTCTTTAGTCGCGACTATGAAGTAACTTCCGCGACGACACATTTGTAATAGTTAAGGTAATTTATACTACATTTACTGTGACTCTGGCACACTTCTACTTGTATACTGGATGTAATAAAAAAATGAAAAATGTAAAAAAAAATCTATAAAATAAATAAAATCTGTCTTAAATACGCACGTTTTTTTATTTTCACATGACACACTCAGACGTATCTACCCAGAAGAAGACCAAACTTGTACTGTATTTTGTGGACATAAACCTCGCCGGGGTTCAGCACTGAATTCGGGAAGTTTTTCTGAAAATAATAATTTTACATTATTTAAATATAACTTGACTTCTTCCTTCATTAACACTAGTACAACTTAGGTCAGATAAATCTTTAGATTAGAGCGATTACGCTCTGCATCCCTATCCAAATTCGAAAATATCGTTTTAATGTAGTGGTCGGTCAGTCATCAACCACGGTCAGTTATTTGCAAGACTTACTTATTTTTACGGATTCGGATTGGATGCAGTCCGGCGTCGCCCTTAACGAATGTTTCTCGGGCTATCGTTTTAGCGCTCACCAGTTAGCGCCACTGTGGAGTAAGGTCCTGTCACTTGCTAGTAGCGAAGGCAGTGGCGCCAACGCTAAAGTGGTTGTGAGCGCTAAAGTGGTAGGAGGACTATCGTATTTGCACACATCAAGATGGCGCCACTGTAGAGTAAGGTCCTGTCAATCGCCAGGGGTGCCAACTGTTAAGTATAAAAACGATAGCCCTCATTGTATAGTTATGGTATTCTTTAAAGTTTAAAGGACCGTAATTGAGCTGTTTTATTTTTCATACAACGATTAACATGATTTACATAACGAGAACGATATTTATTCATGCTCCTCTCTGTCTCTGTGTATGTGTAATATAATAAACTAAGTAAGTACAATGAACTAAGTAAGGGTGGTTTTACACTCACGCTTACGCAAGCTGACCAACCAGCTGTGCGGGCCACGAGCTTTGCGGCTCTTGGATCGTTACATAGTTATGTAACCGCTTGTAGTGGCCAGCGACGCTGACCAACTGCCAACTGCGCGGGCGTAAGCGTGACTATATAAAACCACACTAAGTACAATGAAAGTTCACTAGGAAAAAGTTGCTGTATGATCGTGTAATTCTCCAAGAGCTACATAAATGGCTGTTGAACATTAAATTTAAACTTACGTGGTTGATCGCGTCAGGGAAGTTTTGCGGCATCAAGCAGAACAGGCCGTGTTTCTTGTACAAGGTCCCCGCCTTGCCAATTAGTGGCACGTACCCGAAGCTCGCCTTGCCCTGGAAATAAAGCAGAAGACTTGATTAATTTTACGTTGTAACACAAGTAGGCATTAGGGGAGGCTGGCCCTGACATGCCAAGTCCGATAGATACGTGGTGCAATGAGGGTTTTCGCGATTGAAAAATCCGCCAGATGCCAAAACGTAGACGCGAGGTCCAAATGCTGCATGATTGGTTATTTTTGACATGACATTGACAGATATGTCAAAATCCACCAATCACGCAGCATTTGGACTTCGCGTCTACGTATTGCCATCTGGCAAATTTTTCAATCGCAAAAACCCTCATTAGTATAGCTCATGAAGTCATGAGTGAACTATCAACTTCATCTTCGAATCGGTTGCCCAACATCCTGGGGTGGCACTAGACCATTCTGGATTGGGCGCGGGTTAAGAAATGCCTTTCCTGTGATGCTGATTTCAGCACGCGTGCGGTGCTAGCCTCTCTAATCTGTGACATGTACGAAATAATTAATGCGGACAGGCCATATCAGATCCGCACGCGTGCGCCAAAATCCGCATCACAGGAAAAAGGCACCAACTACGGATCTAATAACTGGTCCCAACAGGAATACTATAATAGAATTAGGCTTGATTCGACCAAACTTTATCCGAGAATAACTTCTGGTATAACTGACACATTGACAGTTTCAGTATGGGAAATATGTCAAAACTGACTGAATTTATTCTGATATTATTATTTACTCTTGTTTGGTCGAACACGCCCTAACGCCAGACCTACGTCATTTTATAAAAGGTGAAAGTTTGTCAGCGTATGCTCCCAATGAATGTTGTTGGTGCATCATGAAGTTTGGGTCATCGTGGCTTTGACAGCTTGTCTGACTGATGAGGAAACTACTTATTAATTATTGCCCAAATATTATGTATAAAAATCAGCTGGTATGGTATAATGTAAGCCTCACTTTTACGTTATACTGTAAAAGCTGATTTTTATGTTTAATATTTGGGCAATGTTGAAAAGTTGGAATCATCCAGATAGTTTTGACAGTTCCAACTCCTTGCCAGACAATTTTTTAGAGTTGCTGCCAAAGCCACGATGAACCAAACTTCATGATGCACCAACATTCTTACCTTTATTGGGAGCATACGCTGATAAACTTTATAGCTCTTAGTTTATAAGGTCATCAAGTCACCTCGCTTCCCTCTTCAGTCGCTTCCTCTCCTCTTGCACTCGACTCCTCACTGTCCGACTCGCTCTCGTCTTCACCCTTGCCTTCCTCTTCCTGCTCCTCACCCTCAGCCTAAGAGCATTAAAAAAAAAACTTAAATCATTATAATCATGGCTTACTACTGCTCGTACACTCTTTCAAGCTATGAAAGCCACTGTGGTCAAATGGCATAAGATAAGAAAAAAAAGGAGACTTAACTCGGAGTTTATTTATTTATTTAATGAGCAACATAATAAGCTTACAGAAGAAGAGTTACTGAGTACGGTTCACATTCAGGTAGGACACATTGTGATAAATCATTTTATCATATACCCTGGTAACTTTGAATTTCAGGGAAAATAAAATAATGCTTTTGTGTAAATCTTTCTAAACTATCTGAATTTACAGGAATTCAAAGTTACCTGAATTTCAAGCCAGAAACGGTAAACAATTAATGCATTAATTGAAAGTTACCCACCCATGTTGACTGTAACCTAGACGTAGACTGTATTTATTTAGGGTGGATTCGACCAAACAACAGTAAATAATAATCCCAGAATAAATTGTCAGTTATTCGTCATTTTGACATATTTCCAAACTGAAAGTGTCAATGTGCCAGATATACCAGGGTTATTCTCGGATAAAAGTTTGGTCGAATCGGGCCTTAGTAGAGTATTAATCCAAATATTAATGAGAGTATTAATCCAAATATTAATGAGAGTATTAATCCAAATATTAATGAGAGTATTAATCCAAATATTAATGATTACATCTGAGTCTAGGTACTAACCTCAACGATCTTATCAGGGTCGGGGAGGAGGTTCCCGGTGTAGAACTGCATACCAGGCTGATTGCTGTATACTTCTAGCACGCGCCCGGTGCCGGGGTGAAGAGCTCTGGAAAGAAAGCATATTGAAATTTCGGAATAATTCAGAATAACGTATTCTGTATTAACTGAAATTTATAAAAACAACTAGGTGTCCGTGAAATTTTGTCTGTCACAGAAAAACTTTATCGCGCGCGTCCCTGTTTCAAAAATCAGGATAAAAACTATCCTATGTCCTTTCCCGGGACTCAAACTATCTCTATGCCAAATTTCATCAAAATCGGTTCCGTGGTTTAGGCGTGAAAGCAAGACAGACAGACAGAGTTACTTTCGCATTTATAATATTAGTATAGATAGCTCCACCAGAGTACTTAACTCAGTCACTGCCAAAGCAGAGCATTCGTAATGAATGAGCTTATATTATGTATAACTCAGCTGCAGTATGTCTTGATACTTAAGCTATACTTAAAGCTTCTAGTCCCTTTAAAGAACTTTTGAATATGTACTACTACGTACTGAAAACCAGCGCTGTCTAGGGCAGGTAGTCCTTGGCGGCACACGCTGAGCCACCTCCATTTGCTTTTTCTTTTAGCATAATAATATAAGTTATTTTAAGCTTATAATGTAATTTTGTTTCTTGTAATTCCTTTTATGTGTAAAAATTTATTTATTTATTTTACTAACAAATATTCTTCAAACTTAATATCATTATCTTACCTTGCTTGGAAAGTCAAGTCCTGTTCAGTGCCTTGCGTTATACAGAAATTGACATCGTAACCCCCCAAAGGTATCTTGGGGATCATAGCTCGTAGTACTCTTGGTATCCTGAAGTCATAGGCACTACCGCCAACCACTTTCTTTTCTCCTGAAAGAAAAGTATTTATTTTTAAAACAGTAGATTACTAAAATGAATCTGTCTTAATTTAAATACGAGTAAAATATTTTCAGGCTAAAACAATATTACCAAATCATTTCTTAAATCAACTAAAAGCTTAAGTGAGTAAGTAAAAGCAAAGGAATCATTTATAACTCTAGTAGGTTTTGTACAGATTCCTTAATAATATTTTTAAAATATTACCTGTGACAAGGCCCTCATCGTCCGTCGCTGTATATTTGTCAGCGTTTATTGTGAATATGTGATCGTACATCGTCTCGCACCCGGCATGCTGATGGGATGTAAAAATAATACATATTTATCAAAATAATACATTATGGATCGTGTTGTTCTGGAACACGTCAAACTGAGTTATTGAGACCGAATTGAATAACTAAACATTATGTGACCGAATATAATCAAAATGGCCAATTGCGTCATGGGTACATATACTACTGTAAGAATATTAACTTTCAAAGTGAAGTAAATTACTCCATACTTCCCGAACCTAATGGTCTTAACTTGAATAGTCAATCTTCTATTAATTTAATGAATCTGCAGATAAAACATGTATAGGAATATTAAAACGTATAAAACCACTTACATGACCAGCAAGATTGAAGTACGGGGTGTTGCTCAAGTTGATGATAGTCGGCTCGCTGGTGGTGCACCGCATTTCGATCTTGATGGTGTTGTCGCAGCTGACTTCAAAGGTGACCTGTGCCATCACAGTGCCAGGGTAACCTTCGTGGAACCGCTCTGATACATGGCTCATGATCACCTTATTGCCATTCACGTATGAACGCCAGTTTGCCTGAAAATGTAAGTACAAGTAGAAAAATCCGACAGAGGAAGAAGTTATAGTTATAGAGGAATGACAGAAAATAAAACTGAGATAATTTCTTACTGATAAATAGACTAATGAGTAATACAGATAATATATCCAATAAGAACTTTCACAGAAGAAAAGAACTAGGTACCACACTATTTTTAAGATTAATAAAATATATTTTATGATTTAAAAATGCATTTTTCTTACCTTGTCAAATCCCACGTATCCACCGTTATAGTGGTGGTGACCCTTGTTCGTGGAGAGCATGTACATCCTACCCGAGGGTCTGACCACCATTATAGCTTCCCTGATGTAGTTCGCGTACCGGCCGATGGTGGCGCCAAAGTACGGGTTCCTGGGCTGGAAGTAATCTGAACACAAGTTTAAAGGTAAGTCAACGAGTATAAATGAAATAAAACGTTGAAAACATTTGCTTATTGCAGAAATCAAACTCGCTGTTATTGTCATTTCGATACGAATGCGAAGTAATGAAACCAAAATACACTCACACTACTACGATAAAAAAAATACTAATGAATGAACTTATGAGGTAAAATCTAGGAATCTATGGAAATCTAGGACTTGTTCTACAAGCCTTCAACACTCTAAGCCAAATCTGTCACAAATTTTACAAATCTCTTGAATAATAATTTATTATGTAGTACCTACCTATAATATAAAGCAAAAAAAGGTTAAAAATTTACCTTCCAAAGTATCAAAACCAGCAATAACATCATCGGGCACTCCTTTCCTGTCCGGAACTTGTATAGATGTAATAGTTGCACCATACGTAATCACCTAATATTAGGAAACCTTTGCCATTATACGGAATAAAAAATGTATTGTTACCATACAATATAACCATATACAAATTTTATATTTTAGGATAATCATCATCATCAACACCCCTTTACAGTCCACTGCTGGACTATGAGCCTTCTCCACTATAGTGGAGGTTTTGCCATTATCCCCACGCTTGGATAATATTGTTATAAAATTCACTACCCTGAACTAATTTAGCATTACAATCCAGTTTTGGAAACAAAATTAGATTAGATATGTTATAATACCTGCACAGTCATCCTATTTTTCGTTTTCCATGTATACCTCCTGACTATGTCAATATTTGTGCTAGAACCGCAAGGGCTTTTTTGTTCAGCCTCTGGCATTGCAATTTCCTTTATGGACTTGCTCGACTTATCAAAAATGTTGGACGCCCGACTTTTGGTAGTCTGTATCGACTTGGGCATGAACCCAAAACCGTCGACTATTAACTCTACGTCAGGAATCTTGGGAGGCTCTGGCTCAGGCTCTGGCTTCTTCTCAGAACTCACATCCCCACTACCCTTCTCATCTTCTTCGTCAGCCATTATCACTAAGAATTTAGAACCGAGGTCGAAAAGGTATTATTTTTGAACCAAAATTTTATAAATTACCTATTACCTACAAAAATTTATTTTGCCGAAATTTTGTTACGTGTCATGATTTTTGTTTTAATGACTGATTGATTGTGTCATGGAAACGCTTAATCTAAATGGCTTCTGTTTTAGTTTTCTAACCAGTATTAAATAGACCAAAAAGGTTATGTGCATCAATTTGAAAGAATTTTATTGTTTGTTAAACCACAGAATAATAATATGGTTATACATTCATAAAGTACCGACCACAGGTACCATACATAATAGGTACCGACATTAAGATAATAAGATACAGTCTTGATGAAAACGAATCCACGACTACCTATTAAATGAAATGTTTCTTTCTGTGAAGAGATTTATTGGTCGCGGGATTCACACAAACAAAGCAACCAAAAGATAATAAATCACACATAAATCACACACTAGTACGAGGCATACCCTGTACTTTCTATACATAACTCATTAAAGTATTTTGATCTACTTTCTGAGGCAGAATTACCATTGCAATTTGGTATTATGTAAATTAATATCTTCTTGACCTCCTTATCTCAAACAGAATCCAAAGATACTTTATTTAGAAGCTTTAAAAACGAGGCCTACAAAGGTTGTACATTTTTAAAGGTAACATAATTGCCTATCAAATAAAAATTGAACTGCCATTTGTTTTTGAATATTTTATTGTTTTTAGGCTTTATTTCTAGAATTACGGCATCGCATTGTTAGTATTCTTACTTTTCGGCAATATAATTAAAATAAATATTAAAAAGTATCTACCGAACAAAATACGGTGATGCAGCACACTCACGACGACTCACGACACTTTGAACAGAGATTTTGTACATTGACATAATTTAAACCCAAAACACTTTCATAGTTTGCTTGTCAAGCTCCAATGTATCAGTCTTCCATTTTTCGTGTTCGGATAAAATGTCTGGCATTTCCTCCATGTAGCCTACTTCTTTGCAGGGCGACGGTGGTATGATACTTATAATCGGTATCCCAATCTCCTGAAACGAGTTCATCGAAGAGAACCCACTCTCGTCTTCGATGAAATTAGATACGTGACTGTATTCATTTCTTTTGTCATTACAGCCTCTAAGTATTTTACCGTTGGTTAGTTCCGCAACATTTTTTACAGACAAAGGACCCTGCCGTTCTTTTTCGTTCAATTCAACACCGGCAAAGTCGTTTTCCAAACCGCAGGTGAGTGGTGACGGCGACACAATAAAGTCATTCATGGAGTGATCTTTAACTTCCATGAATTTGTTGATTATGCTGTCGTATACATCTTTGTCGTCACAGACCGTGTTAAGAATGAAAGCATTAGTAGAGTTCTCCTCGACAAGACTCAAAGAAGTGTTGAGCTCATTAACCTTCGCTTCTCCCTTCTCGATACTATCTGCAAACTTGTTCCCATCGTCGAGATTGCCGTTACATGAACACGCGAGATCAGGTAATTTTGTGCTGAGCACTGTATTGGCAAGAGTTATCAGTCTAGACATTTCTTCGGATATTTTATTTGACGACTCGTTCTCGGATATAAGTGAAAGTTTCGACTGATTCCTGAAATTACAATCAGATATGATTTGGATTTTCATAATACTCGTAAACTAATACAATAATTACCCTATTACTTACCAAACGCCCGAGGCATCTCTGAAACCATTAACATTGCTAATGGATTTGCTGATCTTTCTTGTGCTTATTTTTTTGGTTGGGGTCAGATATTCGAGATTTTTGTTCACGTGGAGAACCGATCTTGAGCGAGGCAAGTCAGCAACATTGAAGGACTTGGGAATCCTAGTCGACATCGACTCTTTCCTTGTACTTTCGTTCTTCTGATGATCGATATGATCTCTGACTCTATTTAAGAACGTCACAATCTGCTTAAGTAATGCTATGTGCATCTGCCTGTTTGCTTCAGTCTGAAAATAAGCCATAAATTGGAAGTGACAGAGACTACACAATATTGCAGGAGCGTGTGCGTACTTAAAATGTAAATGTTTACAATTCGCAAAGAATTCGCAACGCATTTTCGCAGAGCAAACAATACTCGTAATAAACTACTAGATACATAGAAGTTAAGTATATTGGTGCACCAATAAACAATAGATAATAAGTTTCGCATGCGCATAAAGACAAGCTGTTATTTAATTTGGTTAGCTACTTAATTAAGAAGCTATAATTCTTTGTTTATACTCGTAATTGAAAATAAGAGCTTTGTCTAAATGTCTATAATTACCTGTGCCAGCTGCCACCTCAGAGTTTCTACCTCCATGTTCAAGGCGGTGACTTCGGTGCATCGCATGTTGGTCTTCAGCGTCGGTTTGTCCGGAGGTTTAGCAGCTTCACCGTTCTGCTCCACAACACTCTTCGAAAGTTGAGAATATGGCTCAATTCTTTCTGAAACCTGGAAATAAAGAGTCAACCATAAGAAACTATGCCACCTTTAGATATCATTATATATCAATTCAAGCGGAAGTTGAAAGGTGAATCACGCGATGAAACAAAATTTCACTAAAATTACTTTGCGTCTATCTAAATAGGCTGAGCGTGAGATTTTTTGTTTGTTCGTTCTATACAATTCATCCAACAAAAAGCACCTCAGGTTAGGTAAAATAAAAAGATGCGCATATTTTACTTCGGTGAGATTTCGATCTGTACCAAGAATTAGTCGTGTTTGCGAGTTGTTTAGCATAACATCCATTTTAGACCTACATCCTATCTATAGAATTGATAATGTTACCAACACTTTCATATATTTCATAAATGTTACCAATACTCAATAATGCCAACCAAATAACATACCTATTAAAAATATGAATTGATCTTACCAAGTAGTATTTTTTAAGTGATCGCTTTATTTATTTAAAGTAGACTATCGTGCATTTTATTTGCGTGCAGGTGTTTCTATTCTTAGTTTTTGCTCAGCGAGCGGGACTATGCCTCCCACGCTTTTTCTACCAGCGCCACTCGGCCTCAAATCAAACAATGTAAATTGAGCTCGCGGTCACCCAGATTCAAAAATGTCAATCAAGTACTTGTAGGTAGTACTTGTATTGCAAGTCTATTAATTCACATATTGTATTTATCAATGTTATTTTAAAGTAACTTTTAGTTTTCAAAGCAATAATAGTTAATTTTCGCTTAAATTACATACTACTTGTATACTTGTTGTGCTTACCCTTAAGTGACATATATATCAGAAATGTTATGTTCATAAATGTTAATCATAAGAGTATAATATATATGTTGTTGGTATGCCATATAAATAAATAAATAAATGCTGCAATAATTGTTAATTAGGTATCATTAATTTTTGTAGTTGTGCTGTTTAACAACTTTATAAATTCGCGCCCGAGTTATCAAAATTAGTTAATACAGAGTAGAAAACATTAATTATTATCGTGACTGTAACTTACAAGTGTAATAAAAAAAACTTAAGATAACTTTAACTTCTTGACGTTTGTAATCTAAACCTAAAAATCTTGAGCAGCCGGCAAACACGTAACTGATAAAAAAAGTCGTTCAAGTGTGTTTTTTTCCAAGAAATCATTGAAATATCATTAGGTCGGATAAGTGAGCACTAGGTAACGCAGTAAGTACTTTACCTAACTAATACCTATTACGGAAGGTCATGGACGTCTGGTGACACATTGTAATGACCATTCTCATTATTATTTATTAGGAAGATAAAACATTTAAGAAACAAGTTAGTGTCTATTACTTAACAAAGGCATGTACAGTTCACAATACATTAGCTAGCCACAAAACGCCGAATTTGTGCCTGAACTACACTACTTACTCAAGTAACTGCATTAAAGTTTAAAATTCATTGAGGATTGTTGGTCATTTTGGAATAGGCATATGCAATATGCTGGCGATTGTACTATGTCCGGTCTGTTCTCCGTATTATCAGTATTATGATCACTTACGTGTATGAAACCAAAAGATTGTATTGTATCGCGTAGCCTAGAACTAACCCATTCTAGAATTTGCAAGTCTTCGTAATTTTGATTCGAATTTAGTTTAAACACTGAAATCGAGTGTTAAGTTTGAGGTTGAAAAGTTTTTACTTTAAAATACGAACGAATATAAGTCACAACAAAATTATATGCAAAACCACTTTGATAACATTGATGTTATCGTTTGAAACCCACATCACCCAAGCATTGCTTGGATCAAAGATATACAAACTGTACAATTAGTCAAGTAACCAAAACGCTCGTATCATTCCTATTGTTTACACAATCTTTTACGAAGTGCAAACAAAAGAACGAAAAACCGAAAAATTTCACAACAATCTCGACGAACCGGGTGTTGCCAAACACACAGATAAACAACTGGCTGAGGACAACAAAACGCAAAAACAGCTAGCTCACATGAAATGTGAGTCACTAAATAATTGCAGGAAAATCTAACTACAGTGGGCTCGATTCTGAGATCCTCATTATCTCAATAACTAAAGGTGAAACTCTTCTGTAGAAAGTTAAAAATGATTTTATGTTCTCTGAAACAATATTATGTTCCATTAGCTACACGTTCGTTCCGATAATAAATTCACTTGTAAGATTTCATTACGCAGGTCGTAAACGATAGGCAGAAACGAGAGAGAACGCAAATATCTCTGAAACATAACAGGTACCTAAACGGGTCAATTTAAAAAAATATATCTGCACAAGTTTAATTTCACTGGCAGTTCTTGTGTGTAGGCGTTGATTTTAGCAGTGTGTGGGCAGACTGTTCTAACTGCACTGCTCCCTGGACCGTGGTCAATTGATCACATAACTGATGCACGGTTGCATGAACTGCCGTTCCCAACGATTTAATTTGGAGTATGCTATTCATGACACTCATTGTCCATGCTTCGGAATCTATGTGTATCATGGTGACCCATTGGACCACCATGTTCTAACCTATTGCTACTATTGTTTGACAGGCTATAATTTTACAGAGATCCGGAATTCTCTGTTTGCGTATGTTAATTGAAGCTATTAAACTAGAGGTTAGAACAATGTGGGAAGCATCAAAATACCTAAAGTAGTAAATGTAAAAATAGTAATACCCGTAATTTTATACCTTTTAACCTACGGGTTTATCATTTCGTTCATCTCAAATACGTAGAAGTTTAGTTTACTTTTCTCAAGTGAAAATTATACCATCCTAAAGATTATCACCGCCAGGCTGCGGGCAACATAGGACCAAAAGGAAATCCTTGGAGAAGCCTTAGTAAGTCCAGTGGTGGAGGTGTTTCAGTTGAAAATGAGGTTCAAATGAAATCAATATTCTTTATTTCTTCATGTTGATTGTCAATCATTGTAATCTACTCAATAATGCCGACGTCAGCTTCGCTAGAATTGACGTTGGTCACATTCATATTGGCGTGTTATATTAAATGGTAATTAATATTATTACCTACAATTTCGAAGATTGGAGTCTGAAAAGTTGTACTAACCTAAAATCTTTGTAAAGTTTTCTTCTCAAAAAGTCAAAAGGGTTTTCCAGCTTATCTAGGTAGCCAATCGATTTCTTCTGGTCGTTTCTCATCCTAGATAGTTGTTCATCATAGACAACATGTTCCAGCCAGTATCAGGCGTCACGTTACAGGGCGGGTGCTGGGTTGCGGGCTCGGGTGTCGGTAACCGAGTCCGATCAAGGCCGAACGCGCTACTGCTCTCGTTTTACAATTTCTACCGACCACACTTACGTGGGCTTAGCAGATGGTCACGCGTCTGCGAATGTGAGGGGATTTCATAGTATTTTAATGCAGCCTCTTTTATGGAGAGTTTAAAATGCTCGTTTTCACCATCAAACCCTAATTTTAAAGTAACCCCTATAAAAACAAAATACCTGTTATGTGTTACCATAGGGGTCACTTAAAAATTAGGGATTGATGGTGAAAACGGGCATTAGTCTTTTAAAGGTGGGACTGGTCGAAACTCGTGCAAAAACCGTTAGTCAGGGCAATGCACAAGAGTGATTTTAAAATTTTGAATGGTTTATTCAAGCGAACTCTGATTTGGCCGTTTTTAGGGTAAAACTAAACAGAAATATGAGCTATTAGTTAGCTTTAAGCTTATTTCAGCAACAGTTCTTTTTCTGCCTGCCCATGGTTAGATCGTCGTCATAATTTCCTACATTTAGTTGTTAAGCTAAATAAAAAGCGTTCTCAGATCTCCAAACTAGGCCACCAAACTCGTCGACGCAGCCAATCCAGTAAGTAGATCAAACGCGCAATTACAACAATAACAACAAAACGTTAATATTATGTAAAGGTGAGTCACCGTAGGGTCGGCAAGTGGTGAGGCAAGCGGCGCGAGCGGCGACGCGTGACGCGCGCATCCGGCGGGCCCTCGGAAGCGGACCCCACCCCTGCGCTGGCGCCGACAAGTGCACGATTCTTTTGTCTTTTAACACGCCATGTTTTACCTATTGCTGATACCACGAAATGCTTTTATAATGCAGTAGCCCGATCTGTTATGTGTTGGCCCCAGAAATACTTAAATGCAAACGGCAACTAAAACAAATATGTTATTGATACAGCTCGTAGCCCTAATATCCGTTAAGTATGTCCCAGTGTCTAATGCTACAGTGACGGCAATAAAAAATTAATTAATTGATTCTGTTAATTTGGAACGAACTGTGCCCATAAAGCCGCATAAATGACCTAGCTATGACCAATTTTCAAATTATCGAATAACAGGGGATTGTTGTACTAGTTCTAATTAACTCAAGTCTAGCGACGAGTAGGTAACTCATGTCAAATCACACAAATAGTAATGCAACAAATTCGTATGAGAATTAGAATTCGAATGCTCCAAAAATATGTCTCCGAGCTGTAATTCTGCAATCATCATCATCACGACGTAATTATGACGAATCGGACATCGTCAGAGTAGGTCATCTCCATTCACAGTCGGAACATTTTTCTTAATTTTATGATGATCTCTACCGCACATGATTTCCTGCTTCGTAAATGCAATCCAGTATTGAGCAAAAAGGTACGCAGAACTTGCTTATTGACCTATTTATTGAAAACCTATACTTTAAAAGTCCGAGACTATTCCACAAAGAGAGGTTGATATCCAAATACTAATGACGGGACATACAACAAACATACACCATTTCGGATGCCGCTCACACTCGCACCTGCGCTCCAGTGTGCGCTTACATAACATAAAGCCCCTGCGCGCACGCGTTGTGATTCAACAACATTTTGTAAACAATACACAGGAACCAGATCTATAACAATTTAGAATGCCAACAATGTCTAGTTTGTTTAGTAGTTGAGCTAAAGCCGTAGCTTGGAAAGTTTACATCCTATTCTTATTAAATCTGTAACAAGCAACAACATTTTTACTATCCAGTGAATTATGGGCCATGTTCTTACAGAAATATTTTACAACTGAG